AAAATACAGATAATTTCTCATGTTGACTAGCTGACTAGCACAAGGTGGCAGTGTTGCACTGTAATGTTCAGAATTGCATACTGCGTATAGTATATAATGTATACTGCCTTCTATTTTTTAAGAAGCAGTATTGAATATGCAACTATTAATATTTTTGCTAAATTGTTGCCAGACCTTAAAACAATTAATGCGATTCGAGTGCTGTCCATTTATCATCTCATAAATTAAACAAACATACTTATATTTCTAAGTATGATTATTTAATATTCTTTTCATTTTAAAAGTATTATTATTTTATTTTTAAAAGTCTGATATATACATGAAAGAGAGCTGAAGTTATTTTGATATTTTTAGTTTATTATATTAGTTGATGTTATTTACATTTAATTTGCCAGACTGAAATGTATGGTCAAGTTTAGTGCATTGCATTGTGGGATACAGTAGGCCTATTACACAGTGTGCTCGGTTATATACTACACATTTAAGCAAATGTACAGTATATTTCATGCATATAGAACATTTGGAAACTAAGCACATTATACATGTTGCACACTACAGAAATATTTAGTTGGGTGTTATTCTTAGCCCAGGATTCAATTTTATTGATATTATACACGGATTAACTTGTAAAATTAACACTTTTTTTTTTTTTTATATAATATAATTTTATTTTTGGCATGCAAAGTGATTTTTATGTTCAAAATACAATTTACAGATCACTCACTAAATTTAGCGGAGTATTTATTTATTTATTTATTTTTGCATTGAAACAGGAGCAGCAAACATATACCATAAACGGGCTCTTTATTGAGACAAGTCATTTGAGAGGTTTATGCTCTTTAAGTATTAATAAATATACTTGAATAATTAATTAATTATAAATGATTGAATTACAGCTTCAAATAAACAAATGCGTGAAAAGAAACATGACCTTTTAAATTGCTTTTTTAGTTTGTTAACTCTACACCAGTGGTCACCAACCTTTTTAGGCCCAAGATCCCTGACCTCGGCCTTTATGAAAGACAAGATCTACCTATTGAAGAATTGATAGAAAAAGACAGCCCAGATAGTACTTCAAATTTGAGGCCTTTTACTTAGTATTTTAATTAGTGATGCGCCGATCATAGCTGATTCAGAATTCAGATTTTATTTTCTTTCTTTCTTTTTTTTTTAACTATCAAATTGAATTCTGATACTGATTTTTAAGCAAATATATTTATTGGCTATTTGCTTTATAACAAACAAACTGGCTTTAAACAAAAATATCTAGCCATTTTAAATTAGAGGCAACCACTGCATTTTAATCATGATCTGCACGGGCAGTTGTTTTTGATTTGATTTAGATTAATTTCAGGATTTAAAACAAAAACAGAATGGTCTGACTTTAGGTGTTATTTATTTATTTGCTGCATAAAACATCTCTGCACGAAACAAAAACAGCAGGTCTGAATGAGACGCACTCTCTGACAGCAGGTGGCGCCTATGAACAGGGTTGCCAGGTTTTCGCAATAAAACTAGTCCAATCGCGTTTCGAGGGGGGTTCCCCTGTAAATATCGCATTCCGGGGGTAAAATACACGTTTTTTTCGGCGGGGATCTTCCAGTAAAATTCACATTCCAGGGACTAAATATCACGTTATTGGGGTCGCTTCAACCCGCGGACATGAAAAACAACCCGCGGCAACAGTGTTAAAGTAGCCCAATTCCGCGGGACAACCGCGGAACTGCTTGCGACAATTGCAAGCAGCAAGTTCAAACTAGATGGACATTTAAGGGATACGTACAGTCATACCACTTATTACACAGCATTTCACCTCATAAATAATTATGGGAATAAGAGATATTGATTTGAGATTAAACTGTTTTGAAATCTTGACTGTTTGTTGTTTTATAATCCATTAAATTGTACAAAACAATAGTCGCAAAATGGCAGCAGCTGCGCTTGTATGAAACGGCAGAGCGGGTCTGCGATACCATAGATGACATAATTAAATGATGAGCCTGTGTTAGCAGCTTTTACCTGTTGTTACTGAGGAATAACGTACCTCGGAATGTCACAACTGACAAATCAGAATCAAGTATTCCACAGAGCCGTGTAATAATAAGCAATATCAAACTTTCAACACTGATAAGAAGACAGCAAATTAGCTGTTTCTTGAGCAGCTAATTAGCTATTCATACAGAACTTTTTCCGAAGGATCATGTGACACTGAAAACTGGAATAATTGCTGCTGACAATTCAGCTTTACCATTGCATGAATAAATTACGTTTTAAAATGTGTTCAAATAGAAAACAGGGTTTAACTTTATTTTGATGGTCCCTTTAACACATTCTGTTGACTATAAGTGACGTTGCACCTACATGTCTACTAACTCTCATTAGAGTATTAGTAGAGTATTAGTAGACTTGGTAGGGTTAGGGTTAGAATAAGTTGACATGTACTTGCAAAGTTACTTATAGTCAGTAGAATGTCTGTTGGGAGACCATGACACTAAAGAGTTAGCAGATATTAAGCAAACAGTCTACTAATACTCTGATGAGAGTTAGTAGACATGTACAGTAGGTGAAACATTACTTATTGTCAACAGAATGTTCAAAAGGGACCATCAAAATAAAGTGTTTTAAACCGAAAACAGTTCTTGTAAATTGTAAAATATTTCGCAAGAAAACTACTTTACTGTATTTTTGATCAAATAAAAACGAGCATAAGAGACATCTTTCAAAAACATGAAAAAGTCTTACTGACCCCAGACTTTTGAACAGTAATGTAAAAAATGTAATATATGTAGAGAAAAATATAACACATGATTTTTTTAAAATCTATTTAGATGTTGTAATATTGCACACAGCAATAACATTCATTCAGTTAGGGTTCTTTCCGCTTCTAAATAGTGTGTTTGTCCATATAACTCACTCTCCTGCTGCACTGTTGTGAGAGCAGCCAAAGTCCGTTTTCCTTACTAATAGCAACAAGCTGAATAAAATAATGTCAAAGTGAGTTGCAGGAAAATTACAGTTTGTTCTTATAGTTGGGATTAGACCTTAAGGCTTTATTTACCAATATGTGTAAACACACAGACACAAACACACGTGCACCTGCACACTGGAAGGATAAGATCAGGTCCACTGAGAGGTGTAGGGGGGTTATAGAGGTGGGGTGAAATGGGTGGAGTGGAGGAGGGGAGGTATTCACAAGACGGCATCTGCTGTAATAGGGTGGTGTGATTCTGGGTATGTTTTGTGGTAGGGCAGACTGTGTTGAGGCATAGTACAGATTGAGAATGTGTCCACATTTTCAAGATTGAGAGGAAGCTAAGTGTGGGTGGGTGGGTATCCCCATCAAGGTTTGGATCTCTTGTGTTCAGACAGGCGGAAGACTACAGACAGAGGGTGCTAGGAGCATGACTTAGGTGAACAGAGGCTTGAGAATGAAACAGCATCTTGTCTTAACCATGAGAATAAAAAGAGTGTGTCAGGTTGGAGAATAGCCACACAGAATACACACATATTTGTATCCTAGTCCTGTGAGGACTCAGTTTTAACATTTAAATGCTCATTTATTAAAGAAATGTCAGAATCTTGCATTTTCAGTTTTTCACACACACACACACACACACACACACACACACACACACACACACACACACTCACACACACACACAGCATATAGAAGTTTGGGGTCAGTACTTTTATTAGCAAGGATGCATTACATTGCAAACGTGATAGTAAAGACATCTGTAATATAAAAAAAGATTTATATTTAAAATAAATGCTGTTCTTTTGAACTTTCTATTCATCAAAGAATCCTGAAAAAATGATCACAGTTTCCACAAAAATATTAAGCAGCACAAATGTTTTCAACTCATAATAATAAGAAATGTTGAGCACCAAATCAGCATATCACAATGATTTCTAAAGAAAAATTCAGCTTTGCCAGCACAAGAATACATTACATTTAAAAAATATTTTAAAATATAAAACTATAAAAAAGAAAATAGTTATTTTATATTTCAATACTATTTCACAATGTTACTGTTTTAACTGTATGTTTGATGAAATAAATGCATGGTGAGCATAAGAGTCTTCAAATACATTAAAAAATATTACTGACCACAAACTTTTGAATGATAGTGTACATTAGATATTTTATATTTATAGTTTTATTTAAAAAAAAAAAACATCAACATTTTTAAACGTATTATTTTAAATCAAGTAAAATTCAAGAATATGTTCCTCACAAAATGATCAGCCCCTATTTTAAATTTTATCAAAACTGCAGCTGGTGCTTTTGTGAAAGAAGTAGCATTTTATTAGTCCATCCAACCTTTTTTTGTCTTTTCATTAGTAATCCAAAGGGAGTGAACCACCTCCTCATATTAAATGAATCACCAGCCCTCACACAAACACACAGCCTCTCTCTCCTCCCCTCCTCCTCTCAGTGTATTGAGTGCTGGCTCCACCCTCCATGGGGCAGCTACTGTTTCTGTCAGATGTAAAGTCACATTGATTGATTTTCCACAGAGATAAACAGGCAAATATGCAGGCATGGGCTGCCAGCTGAGTCTCACCGTGTACATCTACAAATGTAACCGCGAAGAAACTGTATCTCAGTCTGTGTCTGTTCTCATGGACAGTTTCCTGTGTTTAGCTGTGCGGTACCCAACGTGCCATTAATCCAGTTCCTTTCTGTTCTGGCAGGAGCGGCACGCTGCACCATAACAAGGTAAGCTGTGTGCTTGTGTGAGTGTGTGTGTGTATGTGAATTCCCAGTGAGGACGCTGACAGAAGCGATGAACCGCTTGCCATGTGACATGCAGCAGTGTCCGCGGGATTGGCTGAGCTGAACGATGACCTCAGCAAGTTTTCCTCCCTCCCTCCCAGCAGCTCTCTCTCTCCCTTCCCTCCCTCCCTCCCTTGGGATTGGCTGAGCTGAACGATGACCTCAGCAAGCTTTCCTCCCTCCCTTCCTCTCTCCCTCCCTCCTTCTCTTTCTATCTCTCTCCACTCTGCTTTTTTTCCTGCCCTCTTTTGAGCATCCTTTGGTGATCGTGTAGACCACAGCCGCAGTGGCTAGCAGCAGCATCCATGGCCTAAACGCGGAGCCCTAAAACATCCACCGGCCCGTCGTACCAGGGACACGGGGACTTTAAAGCCGAGGCTGGAAGTGTGCTCTGTTTTTTTTTTACATCTCTCCATCTGGTAACCAGGGGTTTCTCTTCTCCCCTCCTCCCGTTTCAGGCTCCTTGGAGATAGAGGAATGTAAATCTGCAATCATGATGGAAGGTGAGGGCTTGGTCTATTTTTATCTTATTGACTCCTCTTTGCCTCTCTTTGCGTGTACGGCCCGGCGTGTGCTGACTTTAAATGCCATAAACTGTCCGCCTATTTTGAGTGGCTTGATATTCCGGTAACTCAATATAGAACTGAAGGTGCTGGATATCTCAAATATAGACACACATCATCACATACACACACATCTCATATGTACACACACATATATGCATTTGTACTCTATTGTACAACAGCAGGCATATATGCAGTTTTTTTTCTTTGTGTTTTCACCTCACCCCCCTTTAGATGGCTTTTCTTTGTAAAGGATTATTTGGATTTTGCAGTTACGGCTTATGTGCCCAGCTGGCCGCCTCTGAATTCTCTTTGTATATAGAGTTCATACACATACTCACGTACACATCATACTGTAACGCAGCACTCATTTTTAATCGTGTGTCTGCTCAAGGCCATTTCTTTAGAGGTAGGTGTTCATGTGTGTAATTCAGTGTGTGCATGTGAACACCGCTGTCAGCTGTGTTTTGGAGGAAGAAACGGGATGGTTTGTTTCACATGTGTGACGGAGGTTTTTATGTAACTGTCGGCCTGACGAGAACATATCATTTATTTATAACATTGGATCAGATAAACTCAGTATCATGTCACCTGTTCCCAAACACTCTTGTCTGTCCTTTTGCATGAGTGGTTCGTGTCATTTCTGATGTACAATCATGCTAAATCCAACTCTAATTGATCGGTTAAGGGGATTTAAGCATAAAATGTTTCTACAATTTACCGTGACATAAGTAAAATGGCATGTATTCTTTGTGACATCAGATTATGTGTGTCATCCACCCCTTGTATATGGATTACAACGTGTTATGCAATTTATTGAGGCATGTGGAGAAACGTCAGAACAAACTCATTCACTCATTCTGTACATTTGCAGTATAACACATACACAAACACAAATGTGACCCTGGACCACAAAACCAGTCTTAAGTCGCTGGGGTATATTTGTAGCAATAGCCAAAAATATATTGTATGGGTCAAAATTATTGATTTTTCTTTTATGCCAAAATCATTAGGATATTAAGTAAAGCTCATGTTCCATGAAGATATTTTGTAAATTTCCTACTCTAAATATATTAAAACTTAATTTTTGATTGGTATATGCATTGCTAAGAACTTCATTGGGACAACTTTAAAGGCGATTTTTTTCAATATTTAGATTTTTTTTTGCACCCTCAGATTCCAGATCTTCAAATAGTTGTATCTCGACCAAATATTGTCCTATCCTAACAAACCATACATCAATGGAAAGCTTATTTATTCAGCTTTCAGGTGATGTATAAATCTCAATTTCCCTTATGACTGGTTTTGTGGTCCAGGGTCACATATGAATGTATATATAGTTGAATTACTGAAATGAACTTTTCCACGACATTCTAATTTATTGAGATGCACCTGTATATTTATATATATATATACAGCAAAAATTACACATTTTAGGTTTTTTAATGCATAATATATTATGAAAGAAATGTATTATGTAGATTTTACCTACATTTTGTCTACAAGGAAAGTAAAATCACTAATGTTGTGAAATCACTTAATAAATGATGTCTTAATGAAACCGTAAAACTACAGAATGGTTTCTGTGAGGGTTAGATTTAGGGTTAGGAGATATAAGTTATAATTTGCTCAGTATAAAAGCTATAAGTCAGTGGAGGTCCCCATATTGATAGAAAACCAAACGAAACGTGTGAGTGACAGATCTCAGGCCTTTAGGTGTTAGGTAACGCAGTAGCAAAAAGTAATAGCGACAGTCGCTGAAGCCTCAAATAGATGTGACAGAGGTGAGTCTCTTAGTGTGACTAGTACAGGCTTAGCCATGCGTGGATTACCTGAAGGTGTAAAATAGGAAGGTAATCCACTTCACCCGGTGTTTTCAAAATGATGCTTCCAGCCTGCTTTAACTCCCAAGCTATTTTTGCCTCTAATCAAGTCTGGTTGGAGTTGCCATGTCCACCTTGATGAATTATGAAAAAAGATAGTTTGTAGTAGGTTAATATGCATGTAGGGCTACTACTCTTTCCTGAGGATAGGAAGAGTAGAAGGGCTTTCTCACACTCAGTTTGAAACAAAGGTCAGGTATTAGGCATTTGTTTGTGGTGCACTTAAAATGGGTTGTTTCTCTTTCTTTCATTTGTTCATTCACTGTGACTTGTTACATTACATGGATATTTTGAAAGAATTATTGACCCTCTAATTGGTTCCTCATGTAAGAATCTACATTTTTCCTCTCATCCTGTTCCCATCCTCTCATCTTTGCCCTGGACATCCCAAGCCTTCTCATGGATCATTGAACCTGAATGTCAGCTATATGGAACCTCAAATCAGATCATTTGAGATACTTGAGTATATAACAAAAGGATGACAGGATGGGACAGTATTGCTGTTTCTTACCTGTTTACTGTTTCTTGCTGTTATTATGTTCAAATTAACATAATACTTTCGTTTTATTATATTTTCAAGATGCAGCTAGTGTTGTTTTTATGCTAGATCAGTGGCATGTGGTGCACAATAAGCACATGTAAGCCACATTTATGTATGCCACATTCGACCATTAAAAGCTCTTGCCTGTTATTGCAGTGGTTCCTTAATAATCGCCATCCATTTTGAGGTGAAACAACAATTAACTTGTGTCATTACCCTTTATATGTCTGCTCTGCCTGTCTGACACCAATTGTTAGTGACCCTGGCAGTGAATGGGTGGGGTTAGATTGAGCTTTTAAATAGAAGGGTTGCCATATAGACTGCTTTAAATAGTGCCAGCGGTAGTGATAGTATTTCCTGTACAGCAGCAGTTTTGCTCCACCCAACCCCATGTCAGGGATACAACAAGGGATTTTTACAAAATTCCTCCATGATTATAAAATTAGCCTTATAAATAGATAAATATATGCATTATTAAGACCTGCATATCATACTACTTAAAAAAAAAAAACTTTTTTTTGCTACTTTTACAAGCAGTATGATTGTTATTATGTGTATATAAGGTAGAGTAGCAGATGTTGTATCAGTACTATGCAGGATATACTAAATTTTGTAGTGCAGTGAATAATAATTTTTTCTCATGTTGTCATGTTGATTTTTACATTTATAACACCAAAGTATATTGGTTTTAACTGTTGCAGAATTGTAGATGTTCCAGTTGGTAGGAAAGTAAGACAATGCATCATTCACAAGTGAAATGGTGAAATAGTTTCCCGTAGTCTTAACTGTGCAGTTTTGTCTGTGTGCCATGTGGGAGTCGTAAAATAATAATTCCATTATTTCTTATTCTGCTTTTAATTAATATATTAAATTGAGTAAAGGCTAGTTGTTAGTGCTTATTTGTTACTTTGTGTAGGAGGCTTAGAGAATTGTGTGAGTAATAACATAAATGTATATACAGGCTTTCTTAAAGTAGCTGGAAATTATTTTGTTTCTGTAATATAAGGCAAAATCATCAGCCAACAAACACAAAGTCTGTTATGTAAAGTCATGATTTACAATCTTGATGAGTGAATATAAGCATTGGCCAATTTTAAGAAGTACAGAATAAACTGATGACTGTGATGTGTCTTATATTTTAGCCAATCAGAAGACTTTGAGCTGCTTTCTGCCTGTTGATCTTTGTTGGGGGCGGAGTTTGTAAAGAAGGAGTTTGTAATTCAGTGGCTAAATTTGCTGGAAATTCCAAAGAGGCCATTCACACAACTCATTTTTGTTTTGAAAAACTTTAAAACAAGAGAAATAAGGCTTGCAGCTTCTACATATAAAAAATAATATAATATAATTCATTCTGAGAGGCTCATGCAGAGACAGCACTAGTGTCAAAAAAAAAAAAAAGCATTCCTACAGATGACAGTAGAAGAGGAAGTGAACACAGACAGCATGTGAAAGGGTTCTTACTGTACTGTGGCGGGACAGAGGCCGGCTCTGGTTGTTTTGGCAGTAACTGGAGTTGAGCTGGAGCTGTATTTCCCAGCAGGCTAAAGCAAACAGTGGCTTGGCATCTGTCTGAAGAGGAAGAATATTTTTTCACTGTCTCATGATGTCAGGAGCATCCCAGTGTTAATCAGACAGTACTTCAATAATGCATATGAAGCATAGACAGGGCTCCACACATGGAGAAGTTGTCAGGAAAGAAGTTTGGATTCACGGAAAAAGTAGTTCTTAACTGGTTTTGCTTCAGGACTTATAAATATCGAACATTAAAATGTATGAATATTACATTATACTGAAAAGGCCCAACAATATGCAGAATTATTAAGGTGACAGGCTAAACTGAAAATTGACAACCTTGATGACATTATATACATGGGCACTTTGTATGAATTTTATTTATTTATTGATTTTTTTGAACCCAGTGTCTGCGCCTGTCTGCACATCAGAAGAGCCACTGGGCTTTCAGTTCACTGCGATAACACTCTCCCCGCCCCCTACTACAGAAACACTCCATGCTTTAAAGAATGAGGGCCTTTGTTCAGTGGCAACAATAGATTGGCCAAAGAACTAAGATGAACTTCGCAAAATGAGGGAAGAAGCTGAACTCATTACATGAATTAGTATATGATTTTCTAAATTATTTGTGCATGTACTTGTGTTTAGAACACAGATTTTATTTAAAATACAAGCATGCAGTATATTGGATAGTGGTTTGATATTGCACATGAAGCTGGCAGAGGTGTATTGTTTTGATTAGCCAAACAAAACATTATTAATAATACAATTAATTTAATGGTTTCAGCACTGGACTACAGTTTTTGTAGTGTGGATAGTTGAATTTTGTTGTGTTCTCAGAAAGTATCTGTCTTGAACTGACTGTGTACATTAGCTTGTATAATACGAGCTTACAGTATAATGCATTTCTGTATGTTGTATTAGTTAAAAGTGGTGGAAGCTAAATTATAATTAGCAACCTGGCCCAGGTAACATCATTCTCTGTGAGGGAAAACAACAGCAAA